TATATATATATATATATTCAAATAACGATGATGAAAAGATTGATAGCTTACACACCTGAATCTCACCCGAGATATATATATGAAAAGATGAACAATTGAACGGATTCGCTGTGTCGGAACTCAACCGGTCGGATAGGATCAATCGATCTGGAAGAGGAGATTTCCATTTAATCGCTTGAAGAATCTTATTATAGCAGAGAAGCAATTTTTTTTGCTCGAGGGGAAGAAAAAGATCGGAATTGGGACTAAATAACACTGCCACTGAAGGGTCCCAGTTTAAACTGTCGTCTATCTATTATCACTTTGGGGAAAATTTTTTTTTTTATATAATATCAATAGTTAATAAATTAGGATTATTAAATGTTAACAATTGAGAATTTGATTTTTAGATTCGATGAACAACCCACCTACTGCGACGAAACACGCGGGATGAGGCACGCGGCATCAGGCTGATTGGTGGAGTTCACTTTGTGGAAATTAAACTTAAGCTAATTGTGTGATTTAGGGTAAGTGAAATTTTAAAGACATGGTATCAAAAATGTATACTTAAAAATTTGTGTTTTGAAATGAGAGTAACAAAATACTCTTATGGTTAAAAACCCAATGAAAGACTTTACTTTTTATTTAAATTTCTTTAACGCGTTTCCTCACTAACACCATCATCTTATCCAGTACTAAAAATTGAATTATAGTTTATTTGATTCATTGGAACCATTTATGGTTTTATCATTTCTGAGCTCATTTCTAAGCAACTCATTACCATCCATTTGCCAAAAATACATGAAAATATAATAATAATAAAAATAATAAATTCATTTATTTATTTTAACTAGCTAAATCCAAATCATATGTGGAATTTAATTGAAAAAAAAATTAATTTATACATGCATAAAATATTCATAATTAACATGTACTATTAAAACTAAATATGCATAAAATCAAAAATATATTATTTATAATTACATATGACTAAGATAGAATCTTTTAATTTTCAAATGAAATCCTCACTTTTTAAATCTTAAAGAAACAACAAAATTTCAAACTAAACACAAAAAAGTTGATAAAAAAAATTAGAAACAAAGTTTCACTTTGGATATAAACTATAATATATTAAAAGATTTTGTTTTATTACTTGCAAAGAGTTAATTTATTTGGTTTTCATATGCATTTGAGTCTATCTTTAAAAATTATTATAAAAGAAAGTTTGCACCACGGTTGAGCTTTTCCTCTCTTTCTTCTTCTTTTTTTTTTTTTTTTATGTCAATGGTATTTAATATATTATACATAATTTTAACATCATTTAGATGGCATAAGTGGTTTAATGTTCAAAAAATCAAAATACAGATCTTTCAGTGCACATTTCAATACCACAAGTTTTTAAATGCACTCACTTTAAATCATTTCTCCTATTATTTTCCTTTTTCAGCCGAGAACAAGGAAATTTCTAATGCACCTTTCTAGAGCTGTAAATATTCGTTTACTCACTTCCCTTTTTT